GGCAGCTGAGACTTCCCATCACCATAGCAACTACTGCCAGGGGCATATCAGGGCTCCTGGGTTCCCTTCCTTCTGTGCGCCTGCTGCTGCAGAGCTACGACCAGGGGGGCCGAGCTCCCTCTCTGGAGGACCAACAGGTAGGGGCTCAGGGTCTGCAGGAGCTGAGGCTGCAAACATGGCATTGCAGCACCTGCATCAGCGCCGCTGCTGTAAGATGGGAGGAGGCAAGGGGCGAGGTACACCCGTAGCAGGAAGGAGCAGCAGAGGAAGAGGGGAGAGAGGGGACGCTGTAACACCAACTACACGCCCTGCAGTCCCAGGGTAGTGGGGTGGCAGGTGACATGGCTTTATGTTTGAATAAACTTCCTAATATGGGGGTTTTTCTCTTTTTTAAACGACAGCCTTCACCTAGGTGGGTTTCATGTGTGACTCCTACCTGGGGCAAGTCCTAGCAAACCTCTCCAAGAGGCTGAGTGGGCGCTGGGGCCCACGTGCCCCTCCCAGGCCCCGCACCCTCAGGCGAGCCCTGTGTGGATAAATTCCCACTGAGGCTCACGGAGAAGCTAGACCTCCCCGTGCAAAAAGTCCAGGCTCCCGGTCAAAACAAGTTGCTATAATCTGTGTCCTTTCGGCCAGGGGTTGGAAGAGCTGGGCAGACTCAACCATTTACTCAGAATTACACCATCCAAGAACAACAGGGGAGCTTTCAGGAACAAACATTTTATTTAATAAGTTATGAGATACAATTTACAGTCGGCATTTGATTCCAGTTTCGCTTCCACGGCCCAGTTTACGAGGCCTGTGGGCCTTTCATGTAAGGCTTCTGGTCGCTTGTTTCTAATATTGGGCATTTGCCAACACTGGCCCCCAGCTGCTATCCCTCGGTGAAGATTCCCCACCCCAGCCCCCTGTCCCACCCACAGAGGCACTTTCAACTAGTGCCACTTCCTCAGGATGGAGCAGCAAGTCAGAGGGTCTGCCTGCCCAGACCACACCACACCTGGGCCCTGCAGCCAGCCAGTGTCCCGAACACTTTAACTATTCTGAAGCATGTGTGCATAAAGGTGTCTGCATATTGCTTTCCAAATACCATCTGGATGACACGTGGTCAGGGCCAAATACGCAGCCACCATTGGTTACACAGTTTTTACTATTTCTGCCAAACAGTAAAGGACACCAATGAGCTGCTGTCCTTCCCACACCCTCAGCAAGTCCCTGACTCAGACCAAAGGTCGGCAGGAGTTTCAGTCTTTCCTAGCTGTAATTATTTTCCAGAAAAAGTGACCCCCGAGGCAGACTGGGATGGGTGTGGAGTGTGAAGACTTGTGCTAACACATGGACACCCCTCGGTCACCTTGAACGTGTTGGTGAGGCTCATCACACTGACAAGCGACTGGAGTGTGTGTTAAACACAAGGGCTAGTGTTGGTTAAAAAAGGGATCTTTGGCAAGTGGGGGCTGCTTATCACTGCAGTTTCCTCAGACCGAGACTGAAACGGATTTTAAAAGCAAGAACAAAGACATGGCTACCAGGATGGTCACAGTTCTGACTCTGCAGGGAAATAATCAGCAGACTGGGGGAGAGGAGGCAGAAAGCCACTCAGGCCAGTCTGCCACCACGTCGTAAACAGGCCACAGAGCAGCGTGGGGTGGGAATGAGTTAAAGCAATGTGTTCACCTAACAGCCTTTCCTTACATACTGTGGGCACTGGGAGGGATGAAGCCAGCTTTAAACCATCTACTTTTCTAAACGACAACCTAAACTAGGTCTCCTCTCCTTCCCTGCCCCGCCTCCCAGCCTGGTTTCATAAATTGGTACCCAGTGTCATTTTTAACACCAGCTTTGACCATGTTCTTGGTCTGTCTGCAGGGGATGATCTGCGCCACAAGAGGTCAGATTGGCTCAGGCCATTGAACGAGCTTGCATGTCGCAAGAGTCCCCAACACGTCCCTAAAGAGTCAAGTCTAGGATTTCTTTCTGAAGGCACTTTAGAATGGCAATGTTTTCGGGATGGGGTTTCAGACCCACAAACAGGCCGAGGGTTTTGTATAAAATGAGTTACAAACAATCAACAAAAGCAACCACCAGAAACTCCTCCCAGGATTTGATGAGAACTGTTTTAAGGCACCGTGACATGGAAGGGGCTGCCAGGGATGTGCTCCTCTCCCCACTTCACGGCCAGAACATAATCTCCCTTCTCCTTGACGACGTATGTGACGTTGTATTGCTGGTTGCCCACATGCTTCATGGAGACCTCTTCGCAGGGCGTGGTGGGCCCGTGGACCCCGATCAGCAGCATGTTGGAACCTGGGAGGCAGAGGAAGGTGGTTATTCAGTGAGGATGAATCCCAGAAGGCAGAGGAAGAGAAGGGGAGATGGGAGCCAAAGGATGATACCAGTTACTATCTGTTGAGCTTCTATGATGATGCTGGGGACCTGAGAAGTGGGAGAGTGTGGTGATTATGAGCAGGACTCCTAGAGCCCAACACTGTAGGTTCAAATCCCTGCCCTGCCACTTCCCAGCTGGGTGACCTTGGACATGGAACTTCACCTCCTGGGTCTTCGCTTCCCCATCTGTAAACAGGGGATGACACTAGCACCTGCCTCACGGGCTCACTGTGAGGAGCATTATATGTGACATCCTTGGCACATAATAAGGGCTATCGATGTAGGTGTAGATTGTTCTGATCTCAGTTATTCTCATAAGAACTTTATGGAAGGTACTATTATCACTCCTATTTTAGAGAAGAAACTGACTTTTGGAAAGAGATTCAGTAATTTTCCCAAGGTCACATGGCATTTAAGGAAGGAAGGGAGGAAGGAAGGAGGGCAGGTGGGAGGGATGAAGGAAGGGAGGGG